ACCATCATCATGACCATCACTAATATGTATGTCTTTCTGACCCACTCAGAAAGGACACTGTTAACTACGGAAGCTTCCAAATAAAAAGGACCATTTTATGTAATTATATTTTCCAGTGGCTTGGAGGTTTTCCTCAAATTAGTTGTTAAAAGACCCAGGCTCAAATCTTGGCTTTACCACTTACTGTGTATGTGTTTCTTAGGCCCCCTTTTCTTTGTCTATAAAATAAGGAAAATGTCCCTATGAGAAGGCACGTTAAAAACAGAGCCTACTATCTGGCATAGGAAATGTATTCAATATTACTCACATTCATAAATAGTTTCAAGTTCTGATACAAAAATGAAAAGGAATTTACTGCAAAATAAAGAGAGAAAAATCTAAATGATGGGTAATATCCCTTTAATTCCTGGGTATCAATGACTCTTGATTACGTACAAAGAGAATGAAAAGTGTAACTTGGGCTTTAGTGAACAAGAGTTAAAAAAGAAACCTAAGCTCTAAATCCTATGCATCTGATATCAGGGTCCAAAAACTCACAATAACCTAGTTAACTGTTGATACAATATTTATAGAGCAAACAAGAAAAGAATCTCATGCTGTACTGATGAAACTCAGTTTAGCAACATTACCAGCAAATGCTCCCAGTGCCCAGATACTCAGTTTCTGGGCTGGATGAAGAACAAATTCCAAAAAAAGTCTGTGAGATGTAAGCACTATTACTTGTTTTATATAATGACAATCATAAAATAGATTTTATAAATCATAAATAGATCATAATTGAAAGAAAAACTTTGAACTGAGCTGTAATGTACCAATTTTTCCCTCTCTAAAGAAAGCATTTTAAAATTGCAGTCTGTTTCAATAAATAGATTGGACACATTATTAAAAAATCATGCTGGGAATCCAAATAGATTTTTATCTAAATTAATACTATATTTAAATAGCTATAAAAATCCTTTGAAATAAAATTCACTACAAAATCAAAAGATTTCATCAAGGTTAGAGTGAACAAATGTAAACACTGGACAATTCTAAGTATGACTGGACACTGCAAAAAAGGAATTAAGGTGGAGAGATTAGCTATGTATCTCATTAAACTGTCCAGGAGGCAAACCAGTCTTTCAACATCTTCAGAGACCATGTTTTCAAAAGCCTCAATTTCTCTAAATTATTTTCTCATGATCTGTGATTCATTATCAGCTATAAAAACAAAATTAAATCTTTTTTACCCTTTTCTCAGACTTAGGGGACAGCTGTAAGAATATTACAAAGAACATATTTTTTCATGAATCATTTATAGTCATTATGTCCTGTAAGCCCAGATATCCTACTGTGTAATAGCTACAAATAAGGATATTTTCCTAAATAATCCCTATCTAACAAAGTTTAAATATTCACATTGAAGTATTAATAAATACCATGTAACCCTCAGATCCCATTCAGGTTTCACCAGCCATCCCATTAATGCCCTTTAGAGCAAAAAGATCTAGTTCAAGACCACACGCTGTATTTAGTTTTCATGTTCTTTAGTCTCCCTCAGCCTGGAACAGTTCCTCAGTCTTCCTCTGCCTCTCATAATCTTGATACACTTAAGGCTTACAGGCCAATTATTTTGTAGAGTGTGCTTTAATTGGGGCTTTTCTGATACATCTATGATCAGATTTCAGTTATACATCTTTGACAATTAAATGGTAGAAGTGATGCCGGGTTCGTCTCACTGCGTCCTCACTGCACACAGCTCTGATTTGACCATTACTGACCACTTGATTAAGATGGTTAGTGCTAGGCTTCTCCACTGTAAAGCTATTCTTTTTTCCTTTTTAATTATTTTCTATGGAGATATTTTGTGTGATTATATAAACATCCCACTCCTCATCACTGATTTTATTCATTTATTTATATAATTATCAGTTAATAGAGCCTTGTTTTATTCAGTGGGCTATAACTTATAACTGTCATTATTTATCTTGATGCCCAAATTGTCCTAGTTTTGGCTAGGAGGAGCCTCTGCACACTGGCTTCTGTATTTGGTTGACACGTCTCCATCATCCTTCAACTACTTCCTTACTTTCTACATCCTAAGATGTCCAGGTTCATCCTGACCTTTTCCTGCTCTACCTGTGGAATCTACCACATCTCCAGAGTCTTGCTTCCTTGTGTGACTCCTCTCCCATGAGTCTACTAGGACAGGAACTAGTTTCATGGCTTGATTTCAATAGTGAACACGGTGTATCTTCTCCAGAATATGAGAGAACACTGTACTATTTCATATCTTAAAGGACAACCAATTGATGAATCTCCAAAGTAAGGTGGTAAAATGATTTAAACTTGGGCAAGTTTAAGACTGGCAAAAAGTATGATGCATCAAACTTCTACCAATCTCTACAATACTCTACCCTGTACTAGTTTTGAAATTGTAGTAAAACTCTGACTGCCTCACTTTCTCTAAACTCCATTAACCAACACAGCATATTCTAATTGAATATGCTATACTAGGAACTTTGATCTGTGTAATACAGTAGTAGCTATTATTAACTTTGAAAGTTTTCTGGCTTAAAGTGTCCATGACCATATTGCCAAGTGTTAGACTGAAGATAAACAGTAAGGAAAAGGTACTCTCAAGATTCTTTTTCAACTAGTGGACAAAGTCATGGCTCATCTCCTTCAGTGTGACTGATGAAGCTGAGTCACTGGTCAAACACTTGCTTCCAAGGACATTATTTGGAACATTAACACGACCCTAATTTCACACACACACACACACACACACACACACAGTAGTAAATCATTTCAAGGGAGTCATATGATTACTTTCTCAGGAAAACCAACAGGAGAACATAAGACTTGGCTTGGCAGTGCACAAATCTGTGTTAGCAGTACACTTCCTTTAAATAATCAAATTGGGAGTGGAAAGTGATGAGGTCACACAATGCTCTATTATAGAACATGAGAAAAGACATACAATTCTTTAATCACTTAAAAATGTATATGCTGGTAAAACACATGAAGTATTTCACTGTCTAATAACTATCCTATGAAGGATACAAAAGAAATAATCTGCATGCATTGTGACACTGACACATCTCTTCCTATAACTGTATTAATTTAGCATAAAATTATGAACTAGGAACTTCCAAACGGCTTTTTGAACCAATTCTCCTCATTACCCTGTGAAATAACTATTATAGCAGTCATTTTTACAAACAAAGCAGCTAAGGCTTCTTTGGGAGATACCCTGCTTAGTACATGGAAGCCTAGATTTAAACACAGACCTCTTAGGAGTCTTATACTTCCAAAGTGGCATGAAAAAACTAAAATGATAGTAAGAGAAGATGGAAATAAAAGTTAAAGAAAAAAAGGAAAAGAGAAAGAACTAAGAAGCTGAGATAAGCACGGAGGAGGGGAGAGAAGGAGGGGACAAGCCGCGGGGGAGAACACGCGGCTTAGGCACAGGGAGAAGATGGGGAAACTCTGCCTGGTCTCTCCTGGATCGTCTAGTGACAGTATTGCAGGGATAAGTATTCAGCTTACAAACTGTTTTCAGATTTGAAGAACTGCTTTCTATTGAGCACATACTATCTTTTTTGGATATCTGAAAACTCACAGATAATAAATTTAAGCGTACATTGAAAGGAAAAAATTACTGTTTCATGAAGCTGAAATAAGGGAAATTTCTAACAAGGTAAAGTATCTAGTAAATTTTAGTATGCAACCCAAACATCTTAAAGCTAAAAATTCACCAGCATTCAAGAAAGAACCAAACATTGCTCTTCTGTCTCCTCCACCCACTCCCCCCCACCAAAAAAAAAGAAAAAGCAAAAGACACAGTGACAAAGTGACTAATAAGGCCAGACAGGTTGAGGGGCAAGAGTGGGGAGCCATATCAACCAGATATAGGTGTTAAAGTCAGATATAGGTGTAAGAGGGCACTCACAGGGGGTGCTGGTGGCCTGCCCAGTAGTGAAGAGAGGATCCATGTAGGAGGGCAGTCCGTGCAGGGTGTTGAAGCAAAGCAGGATGAAAATGGTATCTCTATAAAAGCATGGTCTGGCTTGGGGTGAGGAAGAGCCCTTGTGTGGGGTGAGGAAGGATGAGAGAGATGGCTGGCACAGTGGTCACAGCACGAGCTCAGTAAAAAGAATTCTGTGAAGAAGGGCAACCTGGCACAGTATGTCAGAGCCTAGCTGAGGTGGAAAGGGTGTCAACACAGGGTGAGGCAGGCACTGTGGTGGGGGCCTGGAGTTGGGTGATAAGAACACTGGGTGAGAAGGATATTTATGCAATGAAGAGGACAGTGACAAATTTGGTTACACATAAGAGGATTGATCAAAATAAGTCAATATATTAAGGATACTTAGAGCCCGATTTCTCATCAGAAAAAGAAATTACAAATATGGAAAAGGGAAAATCAGAATGAACTCTGTATTATTAGATTAAACTGCAAAGTACTGGTGTCAACTTATGGTTTTCAATATAGATATATACATATGATTAGAAACACAGGTGTAAATATGTGTAAATGCACACACATGCACGCGCACACACGCACACAATGTATCTGTTCCCTAGCCCCACTGAGCAGGGGCACTATAGCATCATTAATCTTATCTAGTTCCCAGCTCTTGATTTCTAAATATCATTCTTCAAAAAAGGAAAGCTCAGTCAGGGAAAGTACGAGATGTGTATGAAACACCTTGTCATATGGAAGGACAATATTAGGACAACAGGTGAAACCAGGATGGAGTCTGAAAATCAGATGTAGTAATTTATCAGTGTTAACATCCTGACTTTGATGGTTGCTAGGAGAAAGTCCTTGTTTCTTAAAAACACGCATTAACGTACTGTAAACTGATGGAGCTTCAAGTCAGCAACTTTCAAACAGCTCAGAGGAAAAAGTTCTTTGTATACACTTTTCTATAAGCTTGATATGAAATGGAGAAATAAATGGACATGGGGAAGGTGAAAAGGCAGTGAGGTGGCAGGCAGGGAGAACTACTTACTGAGGTCTTCAGCGAGCTGAACTCGTTTACCAGTTAGCAGCTTAACCTTCTTCTCACTGTCTTCAGCAAAATCTTCCAATACTTCCTTAACATTTTTCTCTAATCGCCTGACTGTTCAAAGCAGATAAAAAAACACGAGAAGCATCATGTTTATGAATGCACAAGAATGATACAATTAATGATAATCGAGAGCAAGTTTTTGTTTTCTCATCACACTAAATCTGCTGTTAAGTTCAGACTTCTCACAGGGAGAAGCCTACCTGTTATGCAGTACTTTCATCAGCATGACACTAGTATGTATTCTCAGAGAAAGTCCTATTCTTAAAGGAACGCTTTAATGAAAGCACAGATTTCCCAAAAAACCTAAGTGATGCTTAGGTGTCCTTTCCTAACAGAGTTTTCATGTAATGAAGAAGGACTCCTGGTACATTTTATCTCCCATCTTTTTCAATTATGATTTATTTTCAGTTGTATTTTAAGGGCAAATTAAAATTCTTGGTTTTTCTCATAAATCTATTTTTCAGGAAGTATTCTGGCATCCTTCTATTTAAAAGGAATGTTATACTATTATTTTTGATGACAAATTAGAAAGTGGTCCCTCTGTGGCTTACCTTCAGTGTTTGTAAGTTGCTGTCGTAAAGTGTTTGCGGTGATAGCAAGCATGCGCTGTATTCGCCAAAAGAGGACAACATCATTGCACTCCAACTGAAATATTAGGTAAATAAGATTACCAGGTGCAAATTTAAAAATGACAACCACAATCACAATCACATACAACCACTACAGTTAGTACTATAGCCTAAGCTTAAATTAAAAAAAAAATCAGATTTACCTAATACAAATATTCCTACTTAGACGTAATCTACCCATTTTTTTCTACACAGGATCTATGAAATTCTGCTTGATTTGAGTTTTATCTTCCCCACAGCTATAGAGCTCTGTTTTCGTTCCAATGGCAAAGCAAATAAACTTTGGAGGTAGAGAATTTCATTACATTGTATGAATGTAATGTATTCATTACATTCACAGAATATACCCTTAATTTCTATTTAGTTTCAACTAACAATCATGTTATCTTAAATTTGTCCTTAGGTTAGCCTCTTTTCTTTGTGCACTCAAGCCATTTTTGAAATTCAGCAGCATATGAAATTAAATTAATAAAATTTTTAAAAAGATGCTTTTTCTCTGGGTGAGGAGTAAAATAGGGGTAGAGGATTAAGAGGTACAAACTACTATGTAAAATAGATAAGCTAGAAGGATGTATTGTACAGCACAGGAAACACAGCCAATATTTTATAATAAGTGGGTATAATCTATGAAAATACTGAATCACTATGTTATATACCTGAAACTAATATGATATTGTGAACCAACTATACTTGAATTAAAAAAAAAATTGTCATGTTCCTTTTTGAAAGAAAGCAAGCTTATTCTATACAGAGAGGTCTTTCCATAATTAAAATTATGCAAAAAATGTGTATAATTTAATTTAAACACAAATTTCTTTTAAGCTGCCAAAGTCTCAAGATCATTAGTTAACAGGGCTTTTTTCAGAAGGATATTTTAAAAAGCATTTCTGCTTGTAAGAAAATGCTCAAAATACATTAGTCTATCGCCACCTAGGGGTTACTTTGCAAAATGTGACATTAAACTTTGTACAATCAGCCATTCCAAGAACTGTATACATTTCTTTTAAAGAATTTAAAGTAAGATTCCCATGATATAAAGAAAGAATTACAATATGGGAAAAGAGCATGATAAAAATGTATTACATTATGATTTCCACTATGCAAACAGATGGTTATTTTATATACATACACACAGCTATGTAGAGTTAAACAGATATATATAAAAATGTCAACTAAAATTACTTCTAGGTCAGGGGATTATAAGTTACTCTTTCTTTTTGCATTTTTTAAACATTTATTTATTCCACTTATTTTCCACAATGGGAATTTATTATTTTCTAATATAAAAAATTATTTAAAAAAAATCTTAAAAGTAGTTTAGAGCCTATTAATAGCACACAGTCTCAAAGGTACTGTGATGATCTGCATGTAAAATGCAGTTACTACCAGAGTGATAAACATCTTTGGAAAAAAATGAGTTAGATTACTCTATAAATCACACATACTTTTTTTTTTAGAATATCAAAAGACTTAAAATTAATGCTAAACCTCAAGCTTACTTTTAAGCAATTAAACAACTATCATTAAAAAAAAATTTCCTGTTTTCAGAAACCTTACCTCAGAATCTACAAAATGCCTCTGGTAGTAATAAAAGCCTCTTCGACAAAGGTTACAATGGTTTAGGGCTGTTTTTAAGAAATGTCTTCTATAAACTTGGTGCCAAGTATCCTTAATCTAAAATTGAAAAAAAAAAAAAGAAAAGAAAAAAGGAAAGACCAAAGAGTTACTGTACAATCTCTGGGTTCATGAAACACATTCTGAAAAGTCATACAAAAAGTTTATTTATAAAAGAGTTAATTAAAACCAATGGCAATGTTGTTATTCTGCCAAACTTTTTTATCCATTAAAATTTTTTTTTCAAGATAAAGATTAGATTTACTACTACTATGACTCCTTACCAGTTTATGTACTTTGAAACTTGCAGTGTTTCTAACGAGCGTTATTACTAATCACCTTGTAGAGTTGAGAAGGCAGGAATTCTCTCCCCCTGGTTAGAGGTAAGGTGCCCAAAGTAAAAAGAGGTTGTAATACTCATCTAAGGTCAGAGTTAGACTAGAAAGCTGGTCTCAGACCATGTCCATCAACCCAACAACAGTTCCTTTTTGATTATTAAAACTCATTGTTACCACAGCAGTACGACCCCCACCACTTTAATACTATACAGTCTGTTAGTGTGTTCAAAGGTGTTTCACACCGTTGTCCTTTTTTGATCATGACAATAATAATGTTAAGAAAGTAGAACAAGTATCATCAACACCACTTGACAGATGAGAAAAGGGGGCTGAGAGAGATTATACCAATTACCAAAGGCAGTATTACTAGCTAATGGAATGGAACTGCACTAGCACTGACACCTCCTGACATCTGATCCATCCACTATTCTTGTCACAGCACTGCACTACCTATTTTATAGCTTCATAAGCGGTGAGCATAGATTCTCTCGGAAGAAACCTGGTATCTTCCTGCTCACAGAAAGTGAGATATACAGCCAATCCACATCCTAAGATATGGGCAAACTCCCTCCTATTGTATTTACTCATGAAGTTTAAAAGTATCCAGCCGAACTTACTGTTAGTGAGAGCTAGGACCAATGTGGATAAATTAAATCTATA